TACTTATGATTGGTGAAAATATTCATATCTTATGTTTACCAGAACACTGGCTTTGTAATTGTCTACCCATACTTTAACTAGCTACCTGGGAAGAGTTGAACTCTTCCCAGGTAGCTAGTTCAATAGAGAAAAAGCTATACGCGGAGGCTCTTTAATACTTATAAGTAAACTTTTTAATAATACTTTCTTAGGTTTACGCGAATATTTGACATTTTAAATAAAATTATCTTTTCGGGCTACGGCTCGGCTTTACGGCCTTACAGCATTCGAAACGTCGGGAACCAAAAATCCAAATAAATCCGCGAAAAAATTCAAAAAGATAGTTTTATTTAAACTTTTTAAATTTAAAGGACGTAAAGACATTTTGAGCCTCTCAGTTGTAAACTATTGAACTAAACTACGCGGAGTTTGATAATTTTGTTTTATTGTTATGTATGCGTATACAGACGTCCTAATGGGTTGTATGAGTATTTTAAGAAAGCAATAGAAAGAGCTGTGTTAAAATTAAATTGTTTTGATTTTCATTCATTGTTATTTGTGGTGATTTTAATATAAAATTAAATATTTCCACTACGAGTCTGCGATTTATATCCTTGCTTCTATGATTCTCGAGCCAACTAGAATTACTGATACTTGTACTACATGTGTTGATAATATTATACATAAAATGTAAGCAATTCTGGAAATATATTAGTAACAAGTAGATTTCAGACCACTGTATTCAGTTAGCTTCATTTTCTAATACTTTCAATGCTAATAAAAAATGGTAAAAGAGGCGTTTATCTCTATAAGTACTACACGTATGGAGGTAAATGCCTCGGTGGTGTAGTGGCTAGCATGTACGGCTGCACACCCGGAGGTCCTGGGTTCGAGTCCCGGGTCGGGCCAAGTTTAGTTATTGAGTCTTTCTGTATAAGTAAGCCTCAGTAACAGCCCGGAGTTGGGAAGTTGGCGGTGTTTCACCCCCGTGCCTCGGAGAGCACGTAAAGCCGTCGGTCCTACGCATTAACTCACACTAGTTGTGTCGAGCAGTCGTCCCACCGGAGTATGAGAGTGATAGGAATAGAGAGTGCACGTTGTGTCTGCGCGTACTTTTGTGCACTATAATATCTCCTGCGCAGTTGGCTAGTCTCAATGATATTGGCCACCGGGGCCGGAATCGATCGGGAGAACATCATCATGGAGGTAATATTGTAGCTAAACTTCCTTATTTATCCTACAGCAATGAACTGGATAAAAAAATAATGAAAAAAATAACTATTTAACTACTTGTATAATTATTATGTAAATTAATAAGGACAGAATTTTCTGCGATATTTACTTGCAAGACAATTAATTTAGGGACATCTCTTAACATTTGTTGAATGGGCAACTCCTGGAATCTATAAGAGCAGTCAAAGACTATATGAATTATACGGTGAAAAAACTTACAATCATAATACATCGTTTGCATTTTTTGTAAGTGCCTACTCAAAAACGTTTAGGAGAGTTTGTTCCATGGAAAAACCTTTGTATATGAAAGGCAAAAAAATATGCACATAATAACGTAAGTGAGATGGCGTTCCACGTTGTAATTAGTTGTGAAACTGGAAAAGTCACAGAAAGCAGTTTCGATTTTATGTTGAATATTAAGGATAATTTTATTACTTTAAACCAAGAAGTAGCATCTGCGTTTGAGAATTGTTTTTATTGACATTCCAATGTCGACAACGCAATCTCTCAATTCAACTTCCGCCATTGCGTTAAATAATGTAATATAGTATTTAAATTTAAGTTTTTGAAGGTTGTCTGTGTGTGTGTGTGTCTTTGGGATATATCCCAAAGTTATAATCACAGCTTTTAAAAGTTTGAACGTCAAGAAATCTGTGGGTTAATATCTCTAAAGTTATTAGTTATGTAATTGATGTTGTTGCATATCATCTAGCCACTATATTCAATAGCAGTATAGTGCGTGGTGCGTTTCCTGATCTAATGTAACACAGCAAAATTGTCCCTATTTTTAAATCAGGTAGTAACTTAGCATTTCAATGCTCACAATCTACTTATAAAAACATTTTGGGTTTAAGAAAGGTCACTCCACAGCAAATGCTAGTGTTGAACTAGTAAAAATATTTTTTAAGCTTGGGAAAGGTCATATAATGCACTTGGGATATTCTATGACTTATCCAATGCGTTTGATTGTGTGCGACATACGACATTAATCAGGGAACCGCATCACTATGGCTTTAGAAAAAAGACACTCGACTTTCAGAATTTGTAAATAAATAACAGAATGCAGAGGGTTGATGTAAATGGTATGAGATCTCTTGGGGCTCCATTAGATATGTGGGTTCCACAAGGCTCTATTCTTCCTCATTTATGTTAATTATTTGCTATATGTATGTTTGTAAAAGTCCATGACGTCTATAAAATATTTAGAATTTTGAATTTGAATAGCCATCGGATCTGTACAGGACTCAGTTGAAGGACTGAGCTCAACGGGCCAACAAAAACTTAAGGAGTGGTCCGTAGAAATAGAGAGGCTTGTTCGGAACGCATATCTTCGCCTTCTACTGTAGGTACCATCATGCTGAAAGCTTTCGTGGATGGGATTCGTGACCCAGAAGTACACGCCACAGTACGCTTGAAGCGCCACACTATACTTCAAAGGATGCTACTGCTTATACTCTATACTTAGAAGACGTACGCCAAGACACAAGAATTTTGAAGCTCAGAGAAGTGGTAACAACGGAAGGAATATTAGTTTGGAAATGCACGTTTGACTGCCTTAAAAAGATCAATGTTCCACGCCAAGTAGACGCAGGGAAATTGATCCACGCCAGAGCTACAGGCTGGACGCTTCCTAGAGAACCCACAGCCCCCAAATAGAACGAAAGCAGACAGTAGATGGGAACACTTTGGTTATACATGTCGCTATGAATTACTGACTATTGAAACATATAGCAGACATTAATTGGCAAGACAGAAGATGCATATGTAACTCTTATGACAGCCTCCGGCCAACACATACCTGTTTGGGGGAAAGAAAAAATGTTGTCAAAATTAGGGACAATATCTATTGCCATAACACATTAAAATTGATTTTCTTTAAAATGTACGATTGACATGGATTGCGAAGTTTAGAAATACATAAATATAGAAATTTCAATAATCGGTGGAATTCATGGAAAATTTCGTTACTTGAAAGACATAGTTGTGTCTTCCTCCAAGATCGCAGATTTTAGTACCTGTCGCCTTACCTTTACAATTCAGGTAGTCCCTGGTGCTGTACTGTTATAGAGAATTTTAACACCAGTGCTTATAGACCCTGGCAAGAGTTGTTGTAATTGAAGCTTCGACATCCATGGTTCCAGTGCTAAATCCCAGTAAAGCTCAGCAACTCAAATCACGGCAACAACCATGCTGGAGGCGATTATGACTAAGGAGAGGGTAGAGTCGCGTAGTGGAAAGTGTATAACGTCTTTACACAAAAAAATTATAATGGCACGTCTGAAGCATGCTTTTTACATTCTCAAACAGTTGTCAACATATCGTGACTGTGAATTAAAAATACTAGAATATATACGAATTTTCGAATACTAGAATATTCTTTGTTTTTGCATATAAAAAGGCCGGTAAGGCCTGTGTCGAGAGAGTTGAATTTCTGAGCTAAGACAAGATTAAGAAGAAATACGAAAATGTCAAAGAGAGGAAAAGTGGAGTAAAATCATAGTGCAGTAACTAGTGGTAGAAAATAGTGTTTACAGACTGAGTTAACCCAGTACTGTGTATGTACTGCGTGTTTTATAAACCGCCATGAGTGAATCTTGTGAACCTAAAGCAATAAAACATATATAATGTAGATTTAATTTTTAATTTCTGATCCTAAAACTCATAAAATCTAACAAAATGATAATATCGATAACCTTAAATCTATACATATAACAAAATTCTGAGTCGAATCTACACATTTAATTTTTTTTTGGAAATATTTTATTGAAATAGTTATTACTATCGATACTGTATCGGATCTGTACATAAATATTTGTTAGAAAATCATGTTGAAATAGACATTATTATTGATGCAGAGACCGAATCTATAGTTTTTAGAATTTTTGTCTGTCTGTCTATGACCACATCACGGAAAAACCACTGGACAGATTTTGATTCAATTTGGTATAATGATAGCTGGTTATCCGGGTCAAAATATAGGATATTTTTTACTGCGGTAAAATATCTCATCTCTGAGAAATGTATACTACGCGTTTAAACGTACCTATATAGAACGCCGAACCCGAGCGTCAGTTCGAGAACGAAAGACAGTTTAACAGTTATTTAAGTAAAGATCCTGCGTTTCCTAGTAAATATTTAAAAAGGTTCACTCTCAATAAGCCAATTAGCCGAGCTCGACAGGTAAAACGAAACTCTTATAATTTCGTCATATCCATCTATCTGTCCCTCACAGCCATTTTACTAGAACACTTAGGGCTGCATTGTTGGTTTGATAAGTGTCTCAACTACTATATGTATATACAATGCAGCAGTAAAATAGAGGTAACACTCAATAATAACTTGGGTTGAAAATAATTGAAGTCCACATAAGCGTGTGGAGTATCTCTGGATACTTTCTCCTTTGATAAAAAAAATCGGAAAAGTGCGATTCGGACTCGCACACAAAGTGTTTCGTACTATAATCGATTTAATTTTGTTTAATTTGCATGGCAGCCTCTTTAAATCCACCATTTTGGTTTTTTTATTATTTGTTGTTATAGCGGCAATAGAAATACATACTCTGTGATAACTCTTTACCTACGGTTCATGAGATACAGCCCTCTGACAGACGGACGGACAGCGGAGGCTAAATGATAGGTTCCCGTTGGCACTTTTCGGGAACGGAACCCTTAAAAAAAGGGTGTAGGTACTAAATACTCACTGGTGTACAGAAAACAAACGAGTTTTTTAAATAAATAAAATAAATATTTATTTACCAAATAAAACTATGAAAGTTTACAACAATTTTATTCGGACACATCATCAGATATGTCTTCTTTTATTTTAATTTTATTTTTAGTTTGCCGCCTGTTGTAGCCGGAGTCGTTTCTATCTTTTGCCACCCCTTTTCCCTCCACTTTTCTATTTCTGACGGTTTTCTTAATCTTCTGACTGTCTTGTACTTTCTTGCTCTTATGTGGGAACTTGGGGTAGTTTTCCGGCAAAACGGTTACTTTCTCATCGTTAGTTTCCCGTTTTAAAGCGCTTTTGAAGGTCTGTCCCCTGCTCGGCTCGTGTAAGGAGAAAGTTATCCTATCGTGGTGTATCTGTTGGTATATAGATTAATATAAAATATAAACTAATATACAAATACAATGCTCGTTATTCAACAATTGTTCATTCGGAATAGATTAAGTATTTAGTTTGTGGACCTTAATTTTGTATTAAAATCTATATTAATGCATGAAGAGCCGATTTTTTAATCGGTTATACTGCGATAACTACTGAACCGATCGGAATAATAGTCATACTAATATAATACGGAATAATAGATGCAGCGTGTTTCGGAGAAGGTTTTAGTATATGATATAAAGGTTTTAGTATAAGATATGTTGGTGATTAATGTTTTACGCGGACGGAGCCGCAGGAAAACGCTAGTAATTAAATAAATACGTACAAGGTATATCCTTAAAAAAAATATTATGTTCAAGTTTTAAAAGATTTTTCTATATTTCTTTTCCTAGCAATTAAAAATTGGTTCAGACTTAGACCCTTCCTATATTTAGTGCGACTTAAATGATGATATACAGAGGGTAATGTGTCTGGCTCTTGTACTATACAGTTATCTAAATCCTAACATCTATACAAATAATAAAATTGTAACTTAAGTCGAATCTGTACATTAAATATTTTTTGGAAAATCTAATTGAAATAGACATTATTATGGATACAGAGTCCGAATCTATAGTTTTTAGAATTTTTGTCTGTCTGTCTGTTACCGCATCACGAGAAAACCACTGGACAGATTTTGATGAAATTTGGTATGATGATAGCTGGATATCCGGGTCAACATATAGGATACTTTTTTTTTTAAAACCTAAGAATTTGGTTTTTGGTCATCTGAACGCGGGCGGAGCTGCGGGCAATGCTAGTTAGCTATATAAGGATTCTCTCACCCGATATTCAACAGAGAGGTAACATTCGTCTTCATCTTCGCATACGAGAGAGTTAACGTCAGCTGGCTTCACAGAACCCGCGGGCCGACGACTGGAGCGCAGGAACCGCCATAGTGATCTTATGCGGGGCCCACACGAGTGAACTATATCGCTAACCTATATAAAATTATTCATTAGCACAATATAGACTAAATCATTGGCTGAAAGAAAATCTGCAGTGTGCGCGGCATAATGCAAACGATCCAACTTTAAAGCGATGGTTGCGACATAGTACTATACATTTTATCCATCAAAACTTGTATATACCAAATCGTTGTAATATGTGTTAGCAAGTGACACTTTAAAGAAATGATAGCTATCATCTATACATATAATAAAATTGTAACTAAGTCGAATCTGTACATTAAATATTTTTTGAAAAATCTAATTGAAATAGACATTATTAACGATACGGAGTCCGAATCTATAGTTTTTACAATTTTTGTCTCTCTGTCTGTAACCGCATCACGAGAAAACCACTGGATAGATTTTGATGAAATTTGGTATGATGATAGCTGGTTATCCGGGTCAACATATAGTATACTTTTTACAGCGGGAAAATATCTTATTTCTGAGAAAAAATACAAAAACTGCATTGTAAGAGTATACTAATATGTAAAACCTAAGAGTTTGGTTTTTGGTCATCTAAACGCGGGCGATGCTAGTTATGCAGCCGTAATTAATATTATTATACGCCTCCACTTTTTTACACTTATAAATCCGGCCCTGAGCGGAAGGATTAATTATTAAAAACACAATAAACAAACAGTGCAAATTAAAGCCGATCAATTTATTTAAAACCTATTTATATTTTATGAGGTGTTTACTTATTAATATATAAAAGTCTGACTGACTTGGTACTATAGTTAATGGCTAGCATGTACGGCCGCACATCAGGAGGTCCTGGGTTCGAGTCCCGGGTTGGGCCAAGTTATTGAGTCTTTCTGTTAAGGAAGTCCCAGTAACAGCCCGGATTTGGGAAGTTCCACCCGTGTGCCGCGGAGAGCATGTAAAGCAGTCGGTTTTGCGCCTGATCTCTTATCGGCCATATCGACTTATTGTCCCATTGTAATTTGAGAGTGACTGGAATAGACAGTGCACTTGTGCGCTATATCTCCTGCGCAGTTGGCTAGTCTCAGTGAGATTGGTCACCGTTGCCAAAAGTCGGTCTGAGTGACATAATAATAATAATACTCTTTATTGCACACCGAAAATCACAGCAGGCGACCTTATCGCTGGAAGCGATCTCTTCCAGGCAACCTTAAGGAAGAGGAGTAAATTTTCATAAAACGTGTACTTGCATTGACACGTTTATGTATATAAATACTTATAGATAAATAGATACATATACCAATCCATACATACATACATACATACATACATACATACACACACACATACATACATACATACAGAAATCTAAGTAAATGCCTTAGTATTCTTATGTTTTAGTGATAAGAAAGAAGAAGTACCTTCATCTGCTCTCCCCCGTCGCACGCAGAGCCGGCGTGAGACTCGACGCCGAAGCTGTTTACACACGCGCGGTCGTCTGACGTCAACGCTTCTATTTGGAACGCGCATTTGGGCACCATGTCTGTGCGCTCCTTTATTTCAAATACATTGTTAAATTGTTATTTTTAACCGACTTTATAAAGAAAGAGATACAAAATTCGGCTATAATTATTTTTATTCGTATACTATGCGATATCTTCAACAATTTTGAATAGATTTTCGTAATTATTTTTAATAATAATAAATAGGTTACACCTAAACAGTGGTCCCATAATATTTCACAAAGACCACTTCCGATATGGATTAATTACAATTAAGACTTTTTGATGACGTTGTACCTTTTTTCTATACATATAAAAAATTCTGAGTCTTATCTGTTTCATTAAATATTTTTTTGGAAAATCTCATTGAAATAGTAATTATCGATAGAGGTCGAATCTATAGTAGCATCACGAGAAAACGACTGGACAGATTTTGATGAAATTTGATATGATGATAGCTAGTTATCCAGGTCAACATATAGAATACTTTTTACTGCTGGAAAATGTCTCTTCATTGAAAAATCTATACAAAGCGTTAAATCATAAGGATCATAACCGAGCGGAGCGAGGGTGAGTCGCTAGTTATTTACTAAAAAAAGATACTAAATCGGATCTTTCACGTAGTAGTTTAGTGGTCAATGTATCTAGGAATGAATTATGAATATGTCGACAGTTTTTCTTATTTTTTATTGTTCAGGTTTTTGATATTCATATGTACTTGTATATTCAAGTACTTAAACAATCGCAGTTAATACTTGTCATCGTAGATGGAGCTAAAAAATCTGCTAATTTACCATAAAATCTATCTTGAAGAAGGTCTGACGATATGGAATAATTCCCATATATTTTTTCGATTCTTGTTTCCGAGAGCGATTTTAAATAAAATAACTCAAATATGAGAAGAGAAATTTGATAAAATACCGACAAGGAGAAACCAAGTCCTTATTCGTATGTTAATCTCAAAACACAAGAATTAGAGTATGAATAAAATATCGCTATATCTCACCCATCCAACTTCATCACAGTGCTTCGGTTCGTCATAACATATGAAATAATTCACCGCTTTCGATCCGTCCGCCCGTTTCTCAGTAGACCAAGTGTACCAATACTCCCCAAACTTGAACATGCTGGAGATGTGACTCTGCCGATATATTAGTGGGAAGAGCATTTCGTTTGGATGCATCGGCTTGGGCTTCTCAGTTTGGGTGACCGTATATTCATATCTATTCTTCTTTAGAAAGGGTAGCATTGTTACGTCTTTATTCTTACTTTCCCAAGTCTCGGTGTGATCTTCGTCCTCTATTCTAGAATCTTCATCGGAATGCATGATAACTTTTACTTTGACAGCGATTATTGTATGGAGCAAATACAGAAATACGATATGCGTAAGACACGACATGGTGAAATGTGTGGCGTTCAATGAATTTCGCAGTTTCCCTCAATAAAGGATGTTGTGGATTAGAAGAGGCAATAAAATGTATGTTTGTAAGCTTTTGCGGTATAAAGGCACGTGTCGTTTTATTCGTGTCCTGTTTCTATTCTTTTTAACCCATAGTGTTAATATTCTACTGTTAACAAAAAAATCTAATATGATTTGTATTTATTTTTCATCTTAGACGATATTTATTATGTTATTACATTTTTTTGGAAATATTAATAGTTTTAAGCTTTTAAAAAATAATAAATATTTGTATTTTTTTCTTTTACAAGAAAAACTCATTAGTATTTTGAAGTACAACATATGTTTATTTATTTAAAACTAGCGACTCACCCTCAATTCACTCGGTTTCGTCCCTAGCTAGGTAGTTTTAACGGTTAGGATAGAATAGATAAGACTTGTTGTGAGTTGTTGTGAGTTATATTTTAAGTGGTCTCCAGTGGGAATTAGACAATCTCCCACTGTAAAAAGAACCTATGTCACTCTTCAGCTCTCCAACTATCTCCAATCTCCATACAAAAAATAATGCCGATCGTTTTGTTTGATCGTTTGTCACTCTGTTCCAACGTGAAAGGACAAACAAACAAAAACGATTTTACATTTATGGATGTATAGATTTATTGTCTTTATTAACGTCCAGACCAAGCCGCTAAATATGAGTTTAAAACTTTGTCAGTATGTGGTTTACAAAAAAAAAATTTTAACAAAACTTGTACGAAAATTAATTTATATGTTAAGTTGTTGCTTAAAAATCATGAGGTCGTAAATTCTTAAAAAACCTGAAGTAACAGATGTAGAATATACATTTTAAAATTTAAGTACCTAAAATAAAATTAATTTTAAATAGCATATGTTGAGTTGAGTACGGTAATTGTACACAGTTGTATTGTAAAATTACAATAAGTTGTTTTTGGTAGTGGATATTTTTAGTTTCACGCTTTGTCAGTTCAATGACCACAAAAACATTGTATTTTGGTGGTATCTATACTAATTATTATAAAGAAGAAAGATTTTTTTGCGTATTTGGTTGTACCGAATAAACTTCGAAACTACTGAACCGATTTAGATGAAATTTGGTAAGAAGATAGTTTGAGACATAACTAATATAATTGTTGTTGGTCCGCAAACTGTCAAGTAGTTTGCTTTATAAAAATGTGTAAAGAAGAATTTAAAAAAAAAGGTGTGTAGCTAAGATTAGGGTCAGGGATCATTCAATGTGGCCTTCACGAAGATACTCACCTCTCTCATATCCTTTTATCTGTCCTAGACTCTTCCCTATTTATGAAGTTCCCGACCCATTGATGTTAATTGTTTAGTCTTCTTCCTATGATAATATATTAATTTTTAAATTAAGGTTTTTATGTATATAGTAATTGTGCTGTCCTTTGTTTTAGGTTGAAGGTTTATAAAGGACTAGTATTGCCCGCGGCTCCGCCCGCGTTCAGATGACCAAAAACCAACTTCTAAGGTTTTACATATTAGTATACTCTTACATTGCAGTTTTTGTATTTTTTCTCAGAAATGAGACATTTTCCCGCGGTAAAAAGTATCCTATATATATGTTGACCCGGATAACCAGCTATAACCATACCAAATTTCATCGAAATCCCTCTATGGGTTTTTCCGTGATGCGGTAACAGACAGACAGACAGACAAAAATTCTAAAAACTATAGATTCGGCCTCTGTATCGATAATAATTTCAATAAGATTTTCCAAAAAATATTTAATGTACAGATTCGGCTTAGTTACAATTTTATTATATGTATAGACTAGCAGAAATCGCGGCTTCGCCCGTGTTCAGAGTAAAAAAATAAACAAAGTAGCATGATCTAATGCAAAAAGAATTTTTCAAATCCGATTAGTAGTTCCTGTTCTTTATAATATTAGTATAGATTTACTCCCTTTTTTACTCACTTTATAATTAATATCTAGGCAGTGGTAGCCCAGTGGTAACGCGCTCGTTTGGGAATCAGAGTGAAGCGGCTTCAAATCCGGGTCTCGCACCTCTGATATTTCCATGTGCGGATAATTTCCAATATGATCACCATTTGCCTTACGGTGAAGGAAAACATCGTGAGGAAACCTGCATGTCTGAGAGAACCTAGCAAGTTTTCGGAAGACATGTGTAGTCCGCCCGCACTTGGCCGGCGTGGTGGACTATGGCTATCAATAAATTGTTTTATGTGTGCATTATTTTATTTTCCATCACTTGAAATACTTTTTAAATTCATAACATACCTAATACTTTCTTAGATTTACGCGAATGTTTGACATTATTAAATAAAACTATCTTTTCGGATTATTTCGCGGATTTATTTTGATTTTAAAACCAAACCAAACCAAATCCAAAAATCAAAATAAATCCGCGAAATAATCCGAAAAGATAGTTTTATTTAATAATGTCATAACATACCTTTTTGTGATCTATCTTTTATCTTTCATCGTTTATTGAAAAACTAACAAATCCATACAAATATTTGAACTTTCATTGCTTCTGATGAGACTATGATACTATACTGTATCCTGTACAGTATCCATACTAACATTATGTGAAAGTTTTGAGGATGGCTGGATGGATGTTTGTTACTTAATTACGTCAGAACGGCTGAACAGATCTGGATGAAATTTGGCACAGAGATAGATTATAATCTGGAATAACACATAGGTTACATGTTTTTTATGCCAGAAAAATACGGTTTCGTGGGACAGATTTGTTTTTGTCCAGGGACAAACTGAGTTGGTAGTAAGTAGGTGATAAAAGAAAACACATAATAAATTAGAATATTGCTTTATTTGGGTACAAAGATGTAAAGTATAAAATAAAAATACTGCATTTGGTATCAACCTTCATAAAACTTTGATTATGAAAATCAAGCATTCAATACACGATACTATGAAAAGAAACTAAAGCGTAACATATCTATACTAATTCATTTATCTAAATAGATTGTATAATATAGTACAAATAAAAAAGCGAATGAAGTTGGACCATTGTTAGGAATTAAGAGTTCCGTAGTGCTTTTATACATGGGCGTATGTACAGTACATGGGGTAAGGCAGGGGGCAGTGTATTGTACATCGGTAGCCTATCCGCCATCCGCCTAACCGTTTATCCGTTTATCCGTCTGTCCCTCTATCCGCCTATCCTTCTTTCTATCCGTCTAACCCAACGGGTAACGGCTAAACTATCTAAAAGCTACAGTAAGAAAGTAAGGCCAGATTTAAATTAATCTTATAGTTCTCTATACTTAGATATAACTAAATCATACTTCACTCGACACCGACCTAGAGCGGCGATGCTCATACAAGCGTATTTAATTCAATTTTTTTCTTTTTTTTCTTTTAACAGATATGACTGCGGTAATAAATTAGTAAAACAACTAAAACACAAGAAAAAAAAACAATTTGTTTATCAAATGATGACTAAACCCATACATAGAGAGTGGACTGAGTGTTTCTTTGCCAGCCGTCAGCTAAAAATGGTAGAAAGGCGCGACAGAGACAAAACGATTGTGCGGCCAGAAGTATTCTGTATTCATTGAAATACCATTAGTTAAGATAGTTATTTATAATCATTTTACATTCCATTATAATACTATAATATTTAATAAATTATAATATATTTTTTTAACATTCCATTTATAAACTCAACTTGAAATAAAAAATATTGGCCGCACGTTCGCTTCCACTCTTTCTAGATAGTGGTCGATTTCATGACAGTATTGCTCAGTCCATTCTCTATGGCCTATGGGCTAAACACTATTATTATGACGGTAATACCATTGACCATGGCGTTTCTAACAGTGCCGTAACATCGGGAACACTCAAAAGTAAGTTCTAAACATCGTAAATATCATAATAATATTATCAGTTCAGAAAGTTTAAACAGCACTACTGAATTTCATTGAACTTTACCTATAATATATCCATATTACATCAATATATATATATATATATATATATATATATATATATATATAACCAGCAGTCACGTCCGCTTCGTGTTACAAAATTATGTTTTAGGGAGCTAAGTTAACTATTAAATTGGTTCCGTGTGTATATTTCAAACGACTACGGCAAACTAAAACTTATCCTACTTATTTAGATACAATTAGTGCTATATAGGCTCTCTCAAGCCGTTCGGTCCACGGTATCTAATACTATACGCTCGGACACACGATTGGGGAAACCGTTATCGATGTAGTGCACCCGAGCGATAATCGATAAAAACTAATCGATATATTGTCGTTAACTGTCAACACTAACTTACCAGCAAACTACGGAAAATAGACGATTGTAATGTACAGATAGGTAAATTCTATAATATTTATTATTATTATTATTTTTAAGTATTTCCTTTGAATGCATCTATACTACTTTAGTTCACTTATACGTACGGTTGTAAGGTGTTATCAAAATAACGGTTATGCACTAAGGGGATAGCGGGTTCGATGCGAGTCTATTAAACGTAGCTCACTCGTTAAAGTTACTTTGCAGTGTTTATGTAACCTGGACTCCGGTGACCATTCGTTTGAACACTTGTTACTAAATTTTAAGTACATTATTATAAAACAACTTATTAGCAAATCTGTACGTATATAAGAGTCAAACTGGTCGATATATATTTAAATCGATGTTGAGAAATCGATTTTAGTTATCAGATATGTTTAATATTGTCTCGGATACAGGTAAATTCGATTTAAATTGTCTGAAAGAGTATTGTCTCAAATTGTAATGGGGAAAGTATTAAAAATCGGAATCGCACTAAAATGTGTCGGTTTGAAGTACATTCTTTTAATATCCGAGAAACAATAATTACGAAAAATTGCTTAATATAAAAGAAATATATGAAAAAAAATGAAATATATAAACCTATAAATGCCATAATATATAGAACTTTATCAATATTTGTTTAGTATTGCAATAAAAATCGGTAAAACAAAGTGATAATTAAACTATCTATTTATATATACTTACTATTTTAAAGCTTATGAAATATTTCTCAATAAATCTTGTTATGTTATTCAATGCCTATTTATAAAAACTATACTAGCTATATACCGTGAGTTTGAATGAAGTTAAAGTACAATAGAGATTTATGAGAATTCGATTACAAAATCGATAATCTTTCATTGAATTGCAAAAATCGATACTGCAAACAACAAAATTGCAATTTAATACAGATATAACTTTAAATATAGACATTAATATATCATACATTTAAAGTCTAAAATTCAAAATTGTTGCGATTTTGAGTTAGAACGTTTTTTCTTTTAAATGTCGAAAAATCGATTTCGTTGGTATACATACTTACAAATGTTATATAGCTACATAAAAATAATAATGTAGCGTAATTTGTTAAAAGAATTGCTTTCAATTTTCAAATATGTATCAGAATATGTATGTATAGTATATATGTATTAAAGTTTAGAATTAAAATATTTCTTTATTGACACAATTGTTTATTGTTACATATTAGGCCTTGAAGTATGTATGTATGTATGTAAGTTTGTATGAGTGTATGTATATATGTATGTATGGAGTCCACGTTACAAAGTGATTATAACCTATTCATCTCGCATACATCACGTTGGCCACACTCGACTCTACGACAGCTATTAAGCTCATAAATTGAAAAAACGTGCTCTCACTCTAACAAAGGAAATACGAAGCCTCATTTATAGCGTTACGTTAAACCGCACACTATAGACTTTTATTTAATCCACGTACTCTAAAACATTTTGCATGTAAAAATGTTTTTATATGAAAAAAAATGTATCGGAGTAATCAAAAGTGTATAATGTGCGGCGACTTTTATACTAATCTAGTTAACTAAAACTTGGCCCATATCATTGTGACAGTCCAAGACGTATTTTATACATAGAAATTTAAATAATTAATTAAATATTAATGTGTATATTTCACTTATAATGTAAAAAAAAATACAAAATATGTAGTATTTTTCTACATACAAAAAATTTAGTTGTCACCATAAAAAATCTTAAATTATTATTAGAAATTATGCTTAAAGAAAAATCTTAATACTTTGACGTATTTAGGCCGCTTGATTTGAATCACTAAACGAATGGACCAAAAACCGGTCCAACGATACGGGCCAAGGGTCAAAACGACTCGAATACCCTAAACCTATGAATCAGTCGGAAAGTGATGAAAATATCATAATTATAAATGAATTTCGCCTGAACTACGCCGATACTACGCCGTGTAAAGCATAGTGATAAGTGTTTTAATTTTAAATAGATTTTTTTTTACGCGCCATTCAGTCGAAACCCCAGGCGTTACTACAAAAAACAAACCTACAGGCAAGGTGCGGTCGTTTAAAAGCGTTCACTTAAAAGCTACAAGTCCATAAAAATCTAACATGGGGTTCACAAACTAATGATAATTTTCAAATAACTACCAAAATATCATATAAGAAGACTTTTTTTCAATAATAAATACGTATATGGCACGAAATATGAATAATTCACTTAAACAATTATTGTATTAAATTTTCGTTGTTTATTACGAAATAATTAAAGCTTTGACTGTATTTCATAAGTATTTGTAAAATTAAGTACAATTTTATCGGTGACACGGTTCATATTATTGTTTGGGTCCATTCGAGTGGTCCATTTTCAGTGCTTTAATCGATTAAAATTACAAAGAAGTAGCATATAGTGTTACAAGTGTGTTATTGAAAAATAAATTATTGGATCACAATAATAACATGGACCGGGTCCAACGATGGCATAATCTGTAATTGTATTTTTTAGCTAAGAAATCGTTAAAATCTTTGTATATCACTTCAACGCTTTTATTTAATTTCAACTAATTTAAGAAATATTGTATTATATATTTAAAATCACCATAATATATAATTATTAAGTTAATATAGAGTTCTTGAGATACAGTAACGGCCGCACCAAACCAACTGACAGCTTACAATTGAACTCTACATGAGTTCAATTCATTTGAGCTCGTTAACATAAAATCTGTGAACATTTTTGAGTTCCAACTCCAAAAAAACATTAGTTTGAAATGAACCCAAAAATATATTAAGGTTTGAAAAGTAAATATTAAATATTACAAACGACGAACAAATAGTAGACTACACATATTATAAGTATAGATTATATATTTCGATTAAGAGATCAAACTCAAAAATGTTCGAGTACAGATATAAAAAAATAACATTTAGAAAATATCGAAGTACAAATCGATATTATAAATAATCGAGATAAAACTAATAAAAAAAGGCGTATTTAAAAATTATGTTTATAAATGTCATTCGTTCTCGTTCAAGCAACGACCGAGTGTAAACTGGGATCGAGGGCACCTTCGTCTTACTTGAGTATAATGAGTCGAGCATTACATCTATTAATATTACTTCAAAACATTAATACTGAAAACATTGTATTTCATATAATCCATTAACAAATTGAATGCATTTAATTATAAAAAAAAAACACTAAGAAAATACCTAATTTAAATAAATAAACTTATAAACTTTTAACTCAAATCATCGATGGACTCAACTCAAGGCAACTCAACTCAGAATCAATACCCGACTCAACTCAAATCAACTCAAGCGAACTCCCCTCTCTCCCACATACGTCTACACTGACACGCACGGTATCTAACATCTCGTCACGAATAACTAATACCTTTTCTTTGTAGAAATAGATGAATCTCGTTGAAGGAAGGACGATCGAGTTCGTTTCGAGTCCAACATTCCGCCATAAGTTCGTATATATCCCGGGGAAGTCCCGGACACCGGTCGATGTATTCAAATAAGCCGTCATCCGCTTGCATATGTGAAAGGTTCTCTAGTACCTGCAAATGTGAATGTTTGTGTGTTTGCTATTTCTTTATTCTTTATGCTTTTCAAGAAGATTTACTTGTTTTGATAATAAATATGTTGGGAATGTAACACACATATATATAAACACCTATGACTGAAGTACAAACATTTGTGTTCATCACACAAATGAACGCCCCCAGCGGGAATCGAATCCGCGACCGCTGGCACAGTAAGTAGGGTCACATCAAACTGAACCAAACGTGTCGTTAAAAAATTGTGACATAATTTTTTTTATGAATAAACTCATACCTCGTGGGCAGTCTCATAAAATTTCAAAAAATAATTTTACAACAGCATCCCACCCATACAGGCGAAATAATTACTTTCCACCATAAAAATAAAATAACTTGAACATCATCGATCAAAAAAGCACTAGATACACAATCAACGACAAAAAATGTTCTCACCGAATGAGCGCTCATTGGAACATTTGAGCACGCTTTTAATTCATTTTTTTTGTGAAAACAACTTTAAGCGTTGCATTTAAGGTTCAATTTACATTGTTTTATATATATTTCAACTAGAATAATTGCCTAAACATAATCGGTGACAGTTTTAAGAGAACTTTTGCATGGGATTGTGTATCTAGTACTTTTTTGATAGACATTTCACATACCTCAGCTTCAGTCAAATGCTCATAGGGCCGTCTTCTGCACAGAGTGAATATCTCATGTAATGTGACAGCAAAAGCCCATACATCACTTTTGGTCGTGTATTTTCCTCTCAATACAGACTCCCAAGCCGCCCACCGCAATGGGAGAGGGATCCTACCATCCACTTTGTAATAATCACATGCGTACGTTTCATTGTCTGTACCAAAATCGCTGATTTTGATCTGATAGCCTTTACCGATTAGGCAGTTTCTGAAATATTTTTGTTTAGTTAAAAACGAGAAAAATATATTTATAATAAATCTATACTTGGTTAAATACAGACCGACGGTTATGGCAGATTTCTTATTATATATATATATATATATATATATATATATATATATATATATATATATATATAATTTTGTTAAAACTACAGGCAATTATCTTTTTTTTTAAATCTTATTCAATAATTAATTAATTACACATGCATAATTAGGTAATTGATTAAAAAGGTATTAGGCACATTTTAGGCACGTTTAATTAACACGTATTGTATAAATATATCAATTTCTTTAAAATACATACTTATATGAATAAAAGTAGCAAAATTTTAAAGTTAGACCTATTTTAGTAAAAAAAAATGCGATCGTGTAAAATTTACGCGCGGTTGAAGTAAAACTTCTCTGTGGCTCTGTGGCGGATACAGCAATTACGTTAAAACAAATCTAAATATAATATAAGTATAATAATTATTATAAAAATATTTTTTTTTTATAATTATTAATAAGAAACTTGACACTCACTTCCGCGACACTCATTTTTCCAATATATTGACTTACCCTCTTGATACCTCAATAATATTTTCGATATTAAAATAAATATATATACATGTATATATATATATGTATATATATATATATATATTAATATGTTTTCAAATAATCTATACATATAATAAAATTCTAACTAAGTCGAATCTGTACATTAAATATTTTTCGCAAAATATTATTGAAATAGAAATTATTATCGATACAAAGGCAGAATCTATAATTTTTAGAATTTTTGTCTGTCTCTCTATCTGTCTGTCTGTGAACGCATTACTGAAAAACCACTAGACACATTCTGATGGAATTTAGTATGATGATAGCTGGTTATCCGGGTCAACTATATAGTATACATTATACTGCGGGAAAATATCTCATCTCTGAGAAATCTATACCAAACGTTAAAACGAAAGTAGAGACTTCGACTCCACTCGGGTTCGTCCCTAGTTATAAATAAAACATACCTTAGATACAAAGTTAACCAAATCGAAATACCTTTCGCTTAGAATAATTTATATATTACAATTACAACAGGTTTAATTAAGTAATATCACTTACCTAGTAGCCAGATCTCTGTGTACAAAATTGAGTGTTTCCAAATAAAACATTCCTGCGGCTATCTGAGTCGCTATGTGGAGTAAAGTCGCGGTGCCCATACTAGCCGGCGGAGATGATCGTAGAAACGCGCAAAGATCACCTGAAACATACTCTTTTATTGGTCCACAGTTGGATAATTATTATATTATTGTACATAATTATTATTTTAAAAGAGCAACTGTTGAGTTTCTCGCCGGTTCTTCTCAGAAAAACTGCCTTCCGAGCCGGTGGTAGCTTCCTAACGGACTGACTAAACTGACATTTAATTTAAATTTAAAATGTAAAATTGACGATTCAAAAGTGCTTGTAAAAGTCTATTTGAATAAAGTTTATTTTGATTTGATTATAACAGCTGGTTTTTAGAGTTCCGTACTCAAAGGGTGAAACGGGACCCTATTAGTAAGACTCCGCTGTCCGTCAGTCTGTCACCAAAATGTCTCTCATGAACAGTGATAGTTAGACAGTTGAAATTTTCACAGATGATGTATTTCTGTTGCCGCTATAACAACGAATACTAATAAATAGAATCAATATTTAAAGGACTCTCCCGTAAAACAGATTTGTTTTTTTTTTGCCGTTTTTATTAATTAATTATAATCTACACATATAAATAAAATTCAAGTGTCTGTTTGTAATGTCAAAATAGCAGCTTTTTACTAAATGCGTATGAAATTATATACAGCACTTATATGAAAAGCACAATATTTATAATTTTCAACCGACTTCAAAAAGGAGGAGGTTCTCAATTCGACTGTATGTTTTTTTTTTTTTTTTTTTTTTTTTTATGTTTGTTACCTCAGAACTCCGTCATTTATTAACCGATTTGGACAATTTTTGTTTTGTTTGAAAGGGTAGACTTCCAGATTGGTCCCATTTAAATTTCAAAAAAAAAATACCACCCCTAAGGGTGGAAAAATTGCAAATAATGAATTTAACCTACTTCTAATTGTCATATTGACTTGAAACTTTGCAAGTGTTTCTATTTTCGTTGATAGTACAGTGGTTCGGTATTGTTGACCCGATCTGATGGTAAGGCCAGAAGGTGGATAGGTGGAACTCTTCAACAACTAATAGTAGATACTTTGAGTTTGGGTTTATTTTGTTTGGTTTGACACGCCTAACACTTTACAATTCTTACTTTGCTACTACTGTCTACACTAAAAAGGGAAAAATAAAAACTTTTTAACAAAAAAATAAAAACCGACTTCAAAGAAAAGCACTAAAAAGTAAAAAATAAGTGATTGGTAGTTTTCATTTACTATACATACCTAATCAAATATTTTCGAAGTCGGTGTGCTTTGCTTTGTATGGGCTGGCACCGATTTCGAAAATATTTGATTAGGTATGTATTTAATAGGTAGGCTTTAATTACTTAGCCAAAGCACACCGACTTCGAAAATATTTGATTAGGTATGTATAGTAAATGAAAACTACCAATCACTTATTTTTTACTTTTTAGTGCTTTTCTTTGAAGTCGGTTTTTATTTTTTTGTTAAAAAGTTTTTTGTCTCTCAGAATCAGAATCTCAATGAATAGATTATTGTGTTGGTTATATTTTTTTACTTTTAATTTAACTTTTTAAATATTTCAGTAGTGAACTATTAAAATTTCATACTATATTTTTTGTTTACGGAAAAAAAATAACATATTATATAATAGGTACGTTTTAAATAGATATAAATAGTTATTAACCAGCGTTAGCCATATACATTTTAATTTGTTTTTCGTGAACTGCTATTCGAGGCGGAGACAAATCCAACCAATCAAAAACCATGGCAATCGGTCCAGCAGCTCTCGAGTTATAAGTGTTGTAACAAACCCGACTTTGTTTTATATGTATATACAGATAAATAACTAAAGAAACGATGAAGCAAAAAATGCGGCAAACACATTAAAACCTTACCCAATTCGGAATATTCCAGAACAACAGCTAGAGGCGGTGACCGACACGCGCCCAGCACTCTCGCGAGATGCGGAGACGAGAGAGCCGCCAATATACGGACATCACGTTCAAAATCCTCCCTGAAATAATCATTCAATTCAATTTTCATATTCAATGGCTTCAAAACCAGGTATTTATGAATATTGCTTCCCCATACAAACTTTCATCCCCATTTTCACGCCCTTGAGAGATGATTTCCGGGATTTGAGGGATATAAACTATCCTATGTCCTTCCCAGGGTCTCTAGAAGATAGTTTTATTTTCTTACCAAATTTCATCTAAATCAGTTCAGTAGATCCAGACATTACCGCCTACAACGTCTCAAACTCACAAACTTTAATCCTTTATAATATTAGTATAGATTTCTTGTATCTCGGAAACGGCTTTAACGATTTGGATCAAGCTTTGTGTTTAGATAAAGTTTAGTCTTTTAAATTTTTTCTAAAAAACACCGCCCGTGTTCTATATATAATATATACATATGTTTATTTAACTTACTAGAAAAAAAACTATTGAATTAATTATTTAAAAAAAATAGCATATTTCGGACGAAATCAATTCAAGCTCTCATCTATCACCGTGCCAATTCCCATACAACCTATGACCCCATAACACATACATAACTTACAAAAAAAAGTGTGTGTGTACTTATGTACGCACGTAAAAAGTTATACTTCTTAGGCGTAACAAAACAAAAATAAATTTGAAAAAGGAATGCAGCTAACTTCATCATGTCGCTTTTTGGCTGTTGGTATGCGCGCGCATCGTAAAAAGTTTACTCGTATATTTTTTCCAGGCATGCCAAAAGGAGTATAACTTCAAAGACAAATAAAACCGGGAGCTAAAGCTAGTATAAATATAAAGCATCGCATACATGATATACCTCTCCTTATCGGACGCGTCATGGCATAGAAACTTGACGGCCACCAAACGTTTTTCTGCTGTTATTGTCCCATTATATTCTGGAACACCATCTGCTTCGGCTACATACACCTGAAACAAAGTATAAATAATATTTAGCTGTTTGTTGTGGTACTTGCTGTGCCAGCGCGGGTTCGGGTCCCGCTGGGGGGATTGCCTATGTGTTAACGCATGTAGCATCCCACAATAGGGCCCGTAACCTTTCACAAGGAACCAGCGACAAATATATAAATATGTTGGTACATTAACACACAGCACCATCTAGTTCCATGGTAAGCTTGTGTTATGAATATCAGATAGTTGATACACTACACATATATAACTTTAAATACATACATATTATAAATATAAACACCCATGACTGGAGTACAAACATTCGTGCTTATCACACAAATGAATGCCCCCAGCGAGATTCGAACCCGCGACCGCTGGCACAGCAAGTAGGGTTACTACAAACTGAGCCAAACGTGTCTTCAGTACACATACAAACAAACATTTCAATTAATAAAATAGTGTAAATAACTCACCGTGCCAAAAGCACCTTCCGCCAATTTGGAGATCATACGGAGGCGATGTCTTGGAAACTCTATCACATTAGTGCTTTCTAGACGACGTTTGAGATCAATTATAACTTCTTGTTGACTTGGCGACTGGAACAAATAAAATATAACACATTATTTTTAACACCCCACTGCTGGGCACGGGCCTCCCTTCAGTACGAGAGGGATCAGGCCATAGTCCACCACGCTGGCCAAGTGCGGGCGGACTTCACATGTCTTTAGAAAACTTGCTAGGTTCTCTCCGACATGCAGGTTTCTTCAAGATGTTTTCCTTCACCGTTTAGACAAGTGGTAATCATGTTGGAAATGATTCGCACATGAAAATATCAGAGGTGCGAGACCCGGGATTTGAACTCGCTTCACTCGGTTTCCCAAGCGAGCGCGTTACCAATGGGCTATCACATTATTATGATTATGAAAAATAGAATATGATAATGATGCTCTCTTGAACGATTTTCGGCGGTCAATCTCACTAAGACGTGCCAACTGAAATTTTGGAGTAAAAATGTACGCACTGCTATATCCCTTTTTTACAACGCGGTTAAAACCTAGTTAGCATTTATTTAACAAACATTATATTAACCTAATCCAGTAATAAATTGTTCTTAATAATGTTCACAAAGACACAAGTGCAATGTGTCTGTCTGTCTATTCATTTCGCTTCCAAATTCCTATGGGACGATTATAATTGAACACCTGAGGTCGATCTCAGGTTCTTATAATTTTATTATATTTAGTTTTAAATGTGATAGGCAGGAAATTCTTGTTTTTTTTATTGAGATTTTTACATACAAGCCATGGACTATGGCCTGATCCACCTCGCATTGAAGGGAAGCCTACCCCAGCAGTGGGACGTTATAAAGGCCTGAATACAATAGTACTAGAATAAAATAACCATAAAGCACTTTATTTCAGTCAAACCGTAACGTCTCTTTTTGAAATATTTTCGAATCTAACACTGAGGTACTAGAATAATATAAAAAAAAAAACGCGTGTGTGTACTTATGTACGCAAGTAAAAAGTTATACTTCTTTGGCGTAATAGAACAAAAATAAGTCAAGATTTCATCCCGTATGTCACAACTCCCTGTTTGTAAAAGGAATGCAGCTAACTTCATCATGTCGCTTTTTGGCAGTCGTCGTAAAAATTTTACTCTCATATTTTTTTTCTATACGTGCCAAAAGAAATATAACTTCAAAAAAAAAGAGAAGATAACTCACCCTTGTCCGGTCAGACCGCAGTGACCGTCTGGTGTCCATGTCTATGGTATCCACGAGGTCGGTCATGGGTTCAGTGACGCGGTCGGACAAATTGTCCGCTATCCGTCGTTTTGTTAGTAGCGGGGCGGAACTCAACTCTGGTACTGCGTAGTCGTAGTTCGAACTATCTGTTGGGACAATGGGTTTGTTTTAAAAACGTTTATGGTATTATTTGGTGGAATTTGTTTTAAATCTTTAAAGGTCTTTGAATACATTTACTTTTTTATTACTTTAGCTTCATTTTTCCTTATATAGATTACTTTAAAGCGTCATATAAAAATATCATATAATAGTTATAATTGTTGCTACGAGTATAACAATTATTTACCCATAATATTATAAAAAAAGATTTTCTTTCTGACAATAATAAACTGAACATAAAATCATTAATTACAGAGAATAAAATAATAATTTTAAATTAAAAAAATAAATAAATAAATTAACTTATTTTCTCACTTCTAAAGGGTTTCTGGAAGAAATCTCTTAAAGAGATAAGTTATCCTTTGTCGACATTTTGTCACTTTATTTTGTATAATATATATTTTATGGTACATAAACAAATAAATAGAAGAAAAGGCATCATACCTGACAGAGCTGCATTGGAATCCTTCACAAAATCCTTCATTTCCAACAGAACAGTGCTATAACTGAAATATGGAGCGCACTTCAAAGCCTGATAAGGTTCTTGGTACTCATCAGATTTAACATCTGGGCAATCTATTATAATTTTATTGTCTATGGAGGAGCAGGGGTTGTAGTTTTCTGCTCGTTTCTGAATTGTCGTTTTGGTCAAGGGTGAAGCGAAGCATTTTCTATGTCTATGTCTATGGATGATTAGGAATACCGCGACGGCCAGTAAGATGACTAACGCAGTTAGAACTCCAACAATGATGGCCATGTATAGAGGGTCGTCTTGATGGGCGGTGGAAATTGGTAGGTCTTTTGTGACTTGTTGTTTTGTTTTGTCCTTCCCAACAGCAGGTTTAGGGCTCTCCGGCGTGTAATTTCCTTGTGCTACATCTGTAATTAGAGTATATTGTTAGATATATAGATCAAAAAAGTACTAGATATACAATCCCATGCAAAAGTTTTCTTAAAACTGTCACCAATTGTGTTTAGGTAATTATTCTAGTTGAAATAAATATACAACAATGTAAATTGAACCTTAAATGCAATGCTTAAGGTTGTTTTCACAAAAAAGAAAATTAAAAGCGCGCTCAAATGTCCAAATGAGCGCTTACTCAGTGAGGACATTTTTTGTCGATGTCTTTTTTGATCGATAGTCAGATATGATAAAATTTCTACATTCTCCCATCACCCAAATGGGAAGTAAAAGTTTAAATAATGCTATCCTTTGTCACTTGTTGAAACTTAATATAAAATAGTTTAGTTTGTGTTTTAATTTATTAGACCTCACTTGGCGATTAAGAGCTAGACGGTAACAAGTGGGAGTATTTCGACCGTCACGACACTTTTTGTTATTTACACACCATGCATGCGCATATAACACCATGTAACGTCATCACAAGTACCAGGGAATCTAAGTGTCAAAGAATGTATGTTGTAAGAAATTCGTGTGCACTCTGTGCAGGTCTTTCTTCAAGACCTCTCGATTTATTGTACATGCTAGCCAATAAATAACTAGAACAACGAGGCAGTCAAAGCTAATCTTATCATATACTAAGCTGCACCTGTAACTTTGTGCGTGTATTACGATGTTAAAGAACGCCCAATTCACTATCAGTAGTATTTTTACCTATTTGGTGTTAATGGCTGTTTGAGTTTATGTTAAGGTACCTATTCAACCACAGACAAATAATACAACTTTATATATAAGGCACAGATATTAAAAGTCCCTTACCTGAATCAAAGAGCACTTCACTGATAAGTATCCATCGAGCAGAAAAATGTAACTCAATTCGAACCCACTTCCCTATCCGATGGTGGAGTTTGATGCTAACATTTCGAGAACTTTCGAATATGTTATCTTCAACCGTCGTGTAACGTATTGGCTCGTCCTGAAAATGGCGGCCGCCGATGGAAAAAGATATAACTGCTTCGGAAAAGACCTGAAAAAAATAATAATAAAAAAATTATAATTAGTGATTAATTTTACACTTATTAAATGATCCTACAAAGGGCTGGAGAGTAATTTGAGCTGTAAACCTCCACAACAGAAATTATCAAGTGTTTTTGGTGAAATATTCGAAGTTGGTCGTCATTGTAAATACTAACACTAACGAGACTATCGGACGGCAATTGATTTTTATATATATAGAAGATATAATAACTAAATTAAGATTTTTTAATTTAAGTTTTACATTTAGACACTTAGGATGTGATATATTTTTTTGCCTACAAAAAACTAAAATTAACATTGATACACAGATACTATGACCAGTCAAAAATTGTAGGTATATTGTAAATTAAAATTATATTTAAAAGAGCAACTGTTGAGTTTGAACTGTTCAGAATTGCCTTCCAAGCCAGTGGTAGATTCCTCACATACTAACTACACTAACATTTAATTTAAATTTAAAATGTAAAATTGACGATTCAGAAGTATATTTGAGTAAAGTATTTTTTGAATGAAATTGAATTGAATAATAAATTCGAAAAAAGAAAGATTATTTCTTAATTCAAGTAAATCCCATTACTAACCTGAACATCTCTCATAAACTTGTTGTTACAGTATAGATGGACAGCACTGAATTCCCTCACTTTATCGAATTCGAAGGTCAGGACGGGGGAGTATGGCCTCGAGTCGTTCCTCCAGCCAACCCAGGCTGAGCTCTTTGCAGCCTCCCTGATCTCATCTCCCCCGAACTGACCATCAACTAGCTGCCCCAAGCCACCCCTCAACTCCTCCCCCCACTGACCGTCGTAAATCATATCGGTCAATTCGACCCCATTGCTTCGCTTGTCACCTTTCGGCATTGAATAGGAAACTATGCCCACTGTAAAAGAAATTTAGGTATATTTAATAATTATTTCAACAAAACCAGTAAGTCTTAGTCGAAAGTACATATTTTACTAAATAACTTTTAACCGACGAAAAAAAGAGGAGGTCCTCAATTTGACAAGTACATATATTTTGTTTTTTTTTGTTTATGTTTGACCACGTATTACTTTTAAGTGTGGACTACACTTTGGATTTGATCCCATAAAAATTTGAAAAAAAAATCCACCACTAAGTGTAGAAAATAAATATTTTGCTACTATGTCTACACTAAAAATGGAAAAACTTAGTGATTTTTTGACGTCGGTTTTTACTATATTTTATTATTCTAAATAGATTAAGAGATAATGTTAATTTAAATTTGAAAAATAATTATTGACTAGGAATATTAGTAATAACCGTAGGTATAAATAGATTGCTATATATTAGACTTCAAGAAAGGAGAGATTTTCGATTCGGGTGAAAACCTACCAGAAATTTACCTGAAACCTAGAAACCACCTACGCTTAAGAGAAAATAGGTATTTCTAACATAATTGACCGAAATCTTCAAATTAATAAATCTATCTTACTAAATATTCTAGACTAGCGACTGACCCTGGCCTCGCTTCGCTCGGGTTCTTCCCTAGGTGATTCTTTAAATTGACAAACTTTTTTATTTATGAACCGATTGAAATAAAACAAATACTAAATGTTAAGTGAAGCTTACCACAATACACAGTTAAAACCGCACCCAATTCAATTAAGCCGTTCCTGAGGTTAACGCGCAAAAACGCACAGTCAAATAGACAAACAGGCTGTTTTCAGATTCTATTGCGTTAGTAAAGACTTCGACGAATAACGTAAACTGTAACTAAATCGAATCTGCATATTAAATATTTTTTGGAAAATCTTATTGAAATAGACATTATTATTGATACAGGGGCCGAATCTGTAGTTTTTAGAATTTTTGTCTGTATGTCTGTGACGGTATCATAGAAAAATCAATGGAGAGATTTTGATGAAATACGGTATGATGGTAGCTGGTTATCCGGGTCAACATATAGGGTATTTTTTACTGCAGGAAAATATCTCATCTCTGCGAAATCTATACTAAACTTTAAAACGTAAGTAGGGACGAACTCGAGCGGAGGGAAGGAGAATCGCTAGTTATTATATAAAACTGTAGCGACCCCATTTTAAAATAAATAAGGTCATATAAAATTATAAACATACATACAGATTACATATGTCATTTCAGAAATGGTTGTGCGAACAGCAGATGTATAACATCGTCGCATTAATGAGAATATGAATTATTATATATACAATACATTCATTTTTCTATACGTTCACAACTTTTGTTAGAAATTACAAGTCATGTGTGAAACCAACTTGTTCTTTGTTTGAAAAAGTTGCTTTTTAATTAAATATTTAAATGAAAATGCTAATTCTTAGCCGTGTCACTTGAAGTCGCTGCTTAGTTTATTTTTGCAAGCTTTTATTTAACTTGCAATGTTTGTATGCACTATGTATGTTTGTTCGAGTCAAATCTTGCAACTGAATTTTATAGCAGCTATCCTCAACCGATTGAGATGAAATTTTGCATACACGTTTGGATTAGATGACATTAGATGCGTGGTTGGATAAGTGACGTCATTTTAAATCCAAAATGTCGGACTCCCAACGATGGCGGACTATGTTTCTTTATGCACCCCCATGATATGGATATTAAATGAAAGGGTTTGCTGAGAAGAATACCACAACCTAAAAATAAAAAATAAACTTTAAATTAAACTCATTTATTATATTTCACTTTATCTGTATTAATATTATAAATGTGAAAATTTGTATGTACCTATGGACGTTTGTTACTCTTTGACGCCAGAACGGCTGGACGGATCTGGATGTTGGGCACAGAGATAGATTATAAGCTGGAATAACACATAGGCTACTTTTTATCCCAGAAAAATGTACGGTTCCCGTGGGATAGGTTTGTTCAATCATCAAAATCACAAAAAAAGTCGAGTTCCTCTACATAGATATCATTCAATCTATACATATAACAAAATTGTAATTGAGTCAAATCTGTACATCAAATTTTTTTTGGAAAATGTTATTGAAACATACATTAATATCGATACAGAAGCCGAGTCTATAGTTGTTAGAATTTTTGTCTTCCTGTCTGTCTGTAATCGCATCACGGGAAAACCACAGGAGGGATTTGGACGAAATTTGGTATGATGATAGCTGGTAAAATATCTCACCTCTGAGAAATCTATACTAAACGTTAAAACGTAAGTAGGGACGAACACGAGCGGAGCGAGGATGAATACTAGCGAATAATCAATAAAACTAACGATCTAAAAAAGCAAACATTCATAGAACTACGATTACATTCTAGCAAGAACGCTATCAACAGTTCGTGACGCTAATGCAGAATGAGTGTAGATCGTTTGAGACCGGCCTCACTACATGAAAGAAAAACACAAAAATGTCCAGACGTATGATTAAACATAATTTGCTGTATTTTGCATGCGATGTGAAATTTGATTCTGGGTAATACCGTCTTTTGTATATACAACTAGCCCTTCTCTGCGGATTCGCCTGCTTTTATTTATAGTATAGACACACAGACAGCGTCAATAAATAGTACAATTATTGACAAATATCTCCTAAGCCTGTCGATATAATATGCTGAGTTTCTTCTCAGGACTGAGGCTTTCTCTTTATGAACTGGTAGACTCATGACGTTCAGTAAAAAATTGTAATAATTTAATGCTGAATGAAATATCTTGAATTTGAATTATTTCAATAAATATAATGATAACAAAATTAGATATTAGAAAATATTATATATATATATATATATATATATATATATATATATATATATATATATATATAATATGGGTGTTTATATTTATAATATATATTTATTTATAGTTATATACATATGTATGTGTAGTGCATCAACTATCTGGTATGGCGCTGTGTTAATTTCCTAACATTTTTATTTATTTATAAAAATTTTTAAAGCTTATTCGACTTATTTTAATTACTATTATACATTTATTAAGACCGTAAAAGGCAAACCTAGCAATAGCGCATAACTAATAAAAAAATCGATATCTTTGGACGCGTAACGCTATTTAACAATAACTTACATTCTAAATTACTATTTTTTTTATTTCAAATAGATTTACTGATACCATAATCAAATGTTTTATACTACATAAATCGAAAACTATTATTATTACGAAATTTTGTATGTATGTATGTGCGTCTGTATATTTGCTACTCTTCCACGCAAATTCAGTATACAGACAGACTGTGGAGCTGAAGTAACACATATATTGATACGTCATCTACCATGCTATTTGATATATGCATATGGTATCTAAAGCGAGAGCGAAGTAAGGGTATATCGCTAGAGTTACAAAATATTAGTTTAAATTATTATTGGTCCCGATATTTAACCAGCGATAGTTCGCGGCAGATACGCGACGCGACGGTCCAATATTGTTATCATTGTAAACAAAATACGTAATTTTCATTAGTGTCACTGACTAATTGTGAACAAAGATTACAATATCTGTGTTTGTGCCAGATTCATTGAACAAATATTAATAATTATAAACAAATTATTTCCTAACATTTTAAATTTACTAACAAAATACCCTTTAAACACTTAAATAATTTTTATTTCTGAATATTTATTCGTAAAACTCATATATAAGGGACAAATATCTAAATGATAAATAATATAATAATAAGTCAGGACATTAACACACAGCACCATCTAGTTCCATGGTAAGCTACGAGGCTTGTGTTATGGATACCAGATAGTTGATACACTACACATATATAACTTTAAATAAATACCTACATATTATAAATATAAACACCCATGACTGGAGTACAAACATTCGTGCTGATCACACAAATGAATGCCTCCAGCGGGACTTGAACCCGAGACCGCTGGCACAGCAAGTAGGGTCACTACAAACTGAGTCAAACGTGTCGTCATATTATATTATTATTATTATATTATATCTTAATGATATATGCCAATATATAAAATATTCACTATAAATGCATTGAATTTGAAGAATTCGTTAATAATTTGATTGAAATGAAGAAAGCCATTATTCAAATAATATTGCCCGCGTACACGCATCGTATAGTTGCAAAGTGAATGACCGCAAGGTAAAAACGAGAGGTCACAACTTCGAATTCTTTGTATTCAGCCCTTTTTAACGTCCCACTGCTGGGGGTGGGCCTCCCTTCAATAAGAGTGGGATCAGGCCATAGTCCACCACGCTGGTAAATATGTACGTGCAGATAGATTTCACATGATCTTGCTAGATTCACGATGTTTTCGTTCACCGCAAGACAGGTAGTTATCATGTTGGAAATGATTCGCATATGAAAATATCAGAGGTGCGAGAGACCCGGGATGAGAACCTGCTACACTCGGTTTTCCAAGCAAGCGCGTCACTGGGCTACTACTGCCTTTCAAATCGTTTGCGAAGTAAATATTTACGCATAGCAAATAAATAATAAATCTGTCATTTTTGTGCGAATGTAACGCAATACCTGAGCTAATTACAACCAAATTCCTATTTTTTTTCTCTTGCAATAAATAAGACTATAATAAAAATGCTAAAGTATGTTTGTGCTTTGTGTTTATTATTCTTTCACGCTAAGACGACTGGATGGGTTTGGCCAAATATATAATGAAAATCGAGGTCTATAAACACCACAAAATTTTTTAGAAGGCGGTCATTAGTAAGGTCGGGTACTTTTGAGTGGCTCTAAAGCACACCATTTTTGTATCTATCAAAAAAGTACTAGATCCACAATCGGCGACAAAAATGTCCTCACCGAATGAGCGCTCATTTGAACTTTTGAGCGCGCTTTTATTATTTTGAAAACAACTTTAAGTATCGCATTTATAGTTCAATTTATATTGTTGTATATTTATTTTAACTAGAACAATTACCTAAACACAGTACGTGATAGTTTTAAGGGAATTTTTGCATGGGATTGTGTATCTACTATCTAGTACTTTTTTGACCTAAGCATTTTTGATAAAAATACAACATTATGTATTTTATTAAACATGATGTTCTCCTGACCGATGCCGGCCACGGCGGCCAATCTCATTAAGACTAGCCAACTGCGCAGGAGATATTATAGTGCACAAGTGTACGCGCAGACACAACGAGCACTCTCTATTCCTGTCACTCTCATACTCCGGTGGGACGACTGCTCGACACGACCGGTGAGAGTTAAGGCGCAGGACCGACGGCTTACGTGCTCTCCGAGGCACGGGGGTGAAACACCGCCAACTTCCCAACTCCGGGCTGTTACTGAGGCTTACTTATACAGAAAGACTCAATAACTAAACTTGGCCCGACCCGGGACTCGAACCCAGGACCTCTGGGTGTGCAGCCGTACATGCTAGCCGCTACACCACCGAGGCAGTATTAAACATATACAATTATACACAATGGTAAGTACCAATATCAATGATAGAAATAATCACACATTGATTCCATTTATTTAACTACTTTCTGGTCAAACGGAAGATTCAATAAGATATATTACGTTTAATAACAATGTAAACTGCTCGATACCTCGAACAAATATTGATTAAATAAAAACAAACCCTTTTATATTGCTACAAAGTAACTATATTAAATTATTGTTTGAAATCGCCGTACAAATAATTACTCAAAGGCGGGTCTATAGATTTTGTACACTCGATAGGTTTAATGTAGAAAATGTGTTCTTGACATTTTGTTACTTTATTTTATTGCCCTCTGTCTGGAATTAATCATTAAGTCGGAGGGCGGCGATTCGATTCTTGTTCGAAACTTATCCCCATTAATGTTATACGTACAAAATTTTGTTTTTTTTTAATTTAGATTTTAGACCATAAATAAATAATAAATAAATAAATATGTTGAGACATTAACACACAGCACCATCTAGTTCCATGGTAAGCTACGAGGCCTGTGTTATGGATACCAGATAGTTGATACACTACACATATATAACTTTTAAATACATACATATTATAAATATAAACACCCATGACTGGAGTACAAACATTCGTGCTCATTACACAAATGAATGCCCCTAGCGGGACTTGAACCCGCGACCTCTAGCACAGCAAGTAGAGTCACTACACACTGAGCCAAACGTGTCGTAGACCATGACACCTGATATACAAAAACTCAAGATACACAATTAGCATCACAAAAGGTTCGTCAAAAAACCGCCTATTTCGAAATTTAAAATTTTGCGCTTTTTTCAAATCTCTTTTGGTCATTGCTTTTCGAATGACAAAATTATTGTTTCGTTTAAAAAAGTACGTCACATGTCGAAGCCAATTTTTGAAGAGATATTTGTTAGGAAATGAGTTTCCACGTTTTTTTGTATCAATGATTTTGACACTATTTTTAATTTACAGCTTAAAGACTATTACGCATTTTTTTCAAATTTCTAATATAAGCATATAATAAAATTCTGAGTAAAATCTGTACATTAAATATTATTGAATATTTTTTTGGAAAATCTTACTGAAATAGTTATTATTATCGATAGAGAAGACGAATCTATAGTTTTTAGAATTTTTGTCTGTCTGTCTGTGAACGCACGACGAGAAAACCACTGAACAGATTTTGTTGAAATTTGGTATGATGATAGTTGGTTATCCGGGTCAACATATAAAATACATTTCATTTTCAATATTTCATCTTTGAGAAATCTAGTTATACTAATAGGTATATAATATAACGTGTTCAAATTTGATATTACCATTAACCTAATATTAACCTATGGACGTTCTCTTTGAAATGATTGACGAGAGATCAACAAGGGTTATCTCCATACTATTACGATTATTTAGAACAATGACTGTTCTGGCGACATATCTTTATTTGAATTTTGCACAAGTGATCATTATTTTAGGATATCACTATCGACTCACCGTCGCTCCGCTCGGGTTCCTCCCTAGTAAAGTTTTAAAGTTTACCATAGATTTCTCAGAGATGAGATATTTTTCCGTAGTAAAAAGTATCATATATGTTGACCCGGATAACTAGCTATCGTCATACCCATCAAAATCTGTCCAGTGGCTTTCTCGTGATGCGGTCACAGACAGACAGACAGACGGACAAAAATGTAAAAACTATAGATTCGTCTTCTCTATCGAAAATAATAAGAATTTCCAAAAAAAAATGTTTAATGTATAGATTCGATTCAGTTAGAATTTTATTATATGTATAGATTTCGCGAATTCCTAAATATGTATATGTTTGGCGAAAATATACACACTTTGTTTAAGATCAACAGCTTTCTGCCACAGTGTTTAGTCTTATTGAAACTAATGCTTGAAAGATATTTAATGGTTATTTAATTGAATTGATTATAACTAAAAAATTATTCTGATTTGTAGGATGTGGAAAATTACAAACGCATTTAAAGTAGTTTCTTTGAATACAATGCCATCTAAAATAATGGGACTGTTCTTGAAATATACATATGTCGCAGGTAAGGTGTAAAAACTGTTAAATTATAATTTTACTAGGTAGTGAATTTCAGGGGTGTTGTAGTGTGTGCGCAAGCGATCCTGCAACGCCCCACTGCAGTGCCAGCTTTTAGTGAGTAGGAGTCTAACAGTACCCTGCCCGTTGACGGCTGGCAGGGTACTGGGTGGCAGGGTACTGGGTGACAGGTTCCATGATGGGTTTCCCCAGCGTAAACAAAAGAAAGAGAATGAAATTATACATAATTAGCCAGAGTACTGACAAATCGTCTCCTTCTCTTACAATATCACGGAACAATTTTAGGTAGGTATATTATAATTTCACTAAGAATTATAATTTAATTGTTTTTACAATTTCCCTGTGACGTACAAAACATCACATACACGCAAATAAAAAGAATACACCCGAATTGAATATCATCTTCTTTTTCGAAGTCGGTATATACATTAAAATATATATGGGTTCAATGTATGTATAAATAAATAAGTGAAGTAAATATGTATGTTTGTTGAGCTATAATGTACAAACTTTTGATAGCTAAATAGTATGCAAAAGGTCTTACCACTCCAATAACAGCCGTAAAGTTCGACTCTCATACATACGGTGCGTCGATGCGAGCTATATGGGATGAAGCGTATCTTCGAAGCCCATATCGGAGGCTCGAGGTGATTCTTTTTCTCTAAATAAGTGTTCGTATTTCCTGTTAGAATCTGAAAGGCAACGACAAATTAATATATTATATTTTCATAGATTTTAGTGAATATTCGATATTTTTATTAGGTAGTAGCGACTCACCCTCGTTACGCTTAGGTTCGTCCTTAGGTGATTTGTTAAATTGACATAACTTTTTATTTATAAACCGATTATAATAAAACAAATACTAAACGTTAACTGAACTTTAACGTACATCAGTGAAAACCGCACCCAAACCGGTTAAGCCGTTTCTGAGATAAGCGCGCACTAACGCACAGACAAACAGAGAAAAATCTGAAAATTATTGTTTTGCGATTCTATTGCGATAGTAAAGACCACTGATAAAAGTTTTTCTCAAATATCTTCCATGTACAGACAGCGATCAGTTATATTTTTATTATACCTATGTATATATATATATAAATTTGGTAATTTTAGTGAGTTAGGTTATTTGTACATAGAATGTCGTCGTCAAAGAAATTGTATCGGTTAACAACGAATTAAGCTACATTTAACCACTGGGTGGTATATAAAAATTTTATTTGAGTGCTTATGACGAAGTTATTGATATTCGAGTAATTTTCAAATTCACAAATACATTCTAATTCATCAAGTTCTTTTCTAATTAAAAAAAAGAAAGATTCCAATTAATTCAATTCAATTAATTCAGTTTTCTTATCTGTTCAACATTAACTTCAGACAAACAGATGGTAAGTACCAAGTTACATATTAGAAGAATAATTAATTAAATATAAGAACTAAAAATCATATTTTTAAATCTACTGAATACGACTGTTTTAGAATTGGGCTTTGTTATTTTAGTTATTCCATTACTCATCTCTCTCTATCTATCTCTTACCTCTTTCCCATCAGCTGCACGATATCGAACCCACTTCCCAAGTTTAGGCCTCCAGTATTCTAACACGTAGGCCTCCGCGTATTCCACCCCCTGTGCGTTGCCGAACCGCCCCTGAGTACCAGCCCCCGTGATGACGTGTACTGAGTGTAGATCAATCTCTAACCATTCAGTTGACTCCGTCGTAATCTGCGATTTGGGACACCACGCACCACTTTTTATATCTTGGTTCAGCCTGTGGACAAACAGCATAATATTATTATTAAAACAATATTTTGCTAACAAGTATTCCACTTATTATTAAGTTGAATTCGCATATACAAAATTATTTTAGCCCCTTTGGATTTCTTTCGCCAGTTATTTTCAGGGTTCAAGCTCTGTCTATCTGGGTACGCATCACGAGAAAACCACTGAACAGATTTTGATGAAATTTGGTATGATGATAGCTGTTTAACATATACGATACTTTTTACTGCGGGAAAGTATCTCATCTCTGAAAAACCCATACTAATCTTTAAAACGTATGGACGAAGCTGAGGGTGATTCGCTAGTTTTCTTATATTTCCTACACCTTCCAAAGTTAAAAATCTCCTCATAAATCAAAAAGTATTTGAGGCTTTTGAGCCAATTTCCTATATTTTTTTAAAATTGAAAAAACAAACTGCTCTGAGCGAAAATTGATGCGATCTAGTAGCAGGCAGTTTTAGACAAACGTACATTCGCATTTTTAGCTGTCAAAAAAATAATAATAGCTAAACACTAATTACTATAACATTGTGTGCAATCGCAAACTTTAAAATCTGTACACAGTCAAGCCGCAAATTTACCGAATTAATTAATTGTCGCGACAACGTATCGTAGACGGTCGTCGACTCTTTTAAAACGTCTGCATATCTTTGGGACGAATCTACATTCTTTTTTCTAAGTAAATATTTTTTCAAATGGTGCCTTTTTAATTGAACCAATATTTAAAATAAAATTATCTTTTCGTATTTTTACGTTTATTGGTGAATCAAATCTAATAAATCAAATCCGAAAACATAGTTATATTTAAAATGTCAAATATTCGCGTTAATCTAAGGGAATACTATATATATATATATATATATATATATATATATAAGAGAGTATTATATTATAGTATACTATTAATAAGGCAAAAGTGTATATGGGTGTGTATGTGTGTTTCTCACAAATGGAAATTTAGAGACTTGACCTGGAGACTGGAGTAACATATAAGCTACCGTTCGACACCTCACCACATGAATGTCGACAATAATAAATAATTGTGCAAATACTTAAATGTCTTCGCTTGAAAAATATTTAATTGTTAAAAATATTTATTAATCCTGAACTTATAGAAACTCAATCTCATGACTAGGTGTCCTTATAAGTTTTTTTTTGTGTTGGGACTTTAACACACATACCATCAAGTTCCGCGGTAAGCTACGAGGCTCGAGTTATGGATACCAGATAGTCGATAGACTACACATATATAACTATAAATACATAAATATTATAAATATAAACACCCATGACTGGAGTAGAAACATTCGTGCTCATCACACAAATGAATGACCCCAGCGGGACTCGAACCCGCGACCGATGGCACAACAAGTAGGGTCACCACATATTGAGCCAAGCGTGTCGTCATTATTCTAAAAGAATTTTACAGTGTTCAAAATGTCTCACTTCTATAATATGGAAGTTTCATAACATGTACTTAACATTTCATCCTCTCGAGGCTTAATTTTCTTAAAATGCTTTCCTAGTTTGAATACATTTTCCCCTTAAAGAAGCCACCAGCAAATCAAATTTCTAATTTCTGAGATCACTCCTCCTACACTCCTCTTAAACGAGTACATACACTAGCGACTCACCCTTGTTCCGCTCGGGTTCGCCCCTAGTTACGTTTTAACGTTTAGTATGGATTTCTCAGAGATGAGATATTTTCCCAAAGTATCCTATATGTTGACCCGGAAAACTAGCTATCATCATACCAGATTTCATCAAAATCTGTCCAGTGGTTTCATCGTGATGCGATCACAGACAGACAAAAATTCTAGAAACTATAGATTCAGCCTCTTTATCGATAATAATGACAATTACAAGAAGATTTTCAAAAAAATATTTAATGTACAGATTCGACTCAGAATTTTGTATACTTATACAAAGGGAATTCTTTTCTCTAAATCCATGAGGTAAATAGAGAAAATAAATCAGATGAAGCTCAAACTTTTGGTATATAACAATTTTCACTTCTTGCCATTAGCGTTTAAGGACGCGCCCAAGTCAAATAACAAAAATAATTAATCTATACTAAATTAGGAATGGACATGGCTAAAACAGGCTAAGTGGCAAGCGAAACCGCAGAAAAAACTAGTAATAAAAAATGGCCTTAATGCTTTATACATAAATAAAACCGAACTTCAATCTCCTGTCAGGCAAATAAAGAAATATCCAATACCCTGACTGCACTAACCAAAACATAGAAATCCTCTCTCAATCTCGACTAAAATAGAATACATATAATATCTCTTACAATTTTTATGAATATACAGTTTACATTTATATGAGTTTACTTGAAAAGCCGAAATGTTACGGATTTAGGTATGACCAAATTGCAAAACCGTCACACCAAATCTCATAATCTATATTGCCAATAGAATATTATTATAGATAAAAACTTTAAAAAAATCGTTTTTTTTTTTTAATTTTTTTTTTAAGTTTTAATTTGTCCCTTTTTAGTGTAGACATAGTAGTAGCAAAGTAAGAAGAAATTATTTTAATAAAATATTCGCTGAACCCCTTTAAGCTAGTTTGATGTCAATTTTTATATGACGACAAAATTAGTTTTTATGAGTATTACACTAAAAATTCTGGTTCTAAAATCCAATTCTAACGTATTGGGCTTGTCAAATCAAACAAAATAAGCCCAAACTCAAAGTATGTACTATTAGCCGTTGAACAGTTCCAACTATCCACCTTCTGGTCTTACCATATCAGATCAGGTCGACAATACCGAACCACTGCACTATCAACGGAAATAGAAACACTTGCAAAGTTACAATCATTATGACAATTAGAAGTAGGTAAAATTTTCATTCGCTATTTCTCCACCTTTAGGGGTGGTATTTTTTTCCAAATTTAAATGAGACCAAATTGGAATTACACACTTTAAAAAAAAAATTTTTTTTCCAAATCGGTTAATAAATGATGAAATTTTGAGGTAAAAAACATAAAAAAACATACAGCCGAATTGACAACCTCCTCCTTTTTGAAGAAGTTGGTTGAAAATACACGAGAATATACTCGTAATATATATACGCTTAATCTATCTAAATTAATATGTATGCCATTTCCTTACGCTCATTAGTTTTCTATTATCGGAGCCAATTGTAGAATGTCTCGTCTAAGCCTTATTTATGTCTAGTTTGATGAACCATATGGAATAAAAGGAAGCTAAAATATTTTCAATATATTTGATGTAAAAGGCTTAGCTTCTTTTCTTTTTTTTTTCTAGAACATAATAATACAGTAAAACAAGCACAATTTCTGTTAGCAACCAATTTATTCATTTGTATGTATATCTGTATAATAGATTTAAGGCATCGGTAGCTCACTGGTAGCGTGTTCTCTTGGGTAGAGGGAAGCAAGTTCAAATCCCGGGTCTCGCCGCTCTGTTATTCTCATGTGTGAAACATTTCCAACATAATTGCCACTTGTCTTACGATGAAGGAAAACATCGTGATACTGCATGTCTGAGAGAACCTAGCAAGTTTTCGAAAGGCATGTCAAGTCCACCAACCCGCGCTTGGCCAGCGTTGGTGGACAATGGCCTGATCCCCCGTATTGGAGGTCCATGCCCAATTGTAGGATGTTAAAAAGAGCTGAATACGAAGAATAAATTTTTATACATAAGATTTTTTTTATTTTTTCATGCCTTACTATTTTATAATTCCGCTAAAGTGGGCTCGAATTTTTAGTAATAAGTTTAGAGTTTCTGTTAATATCGCACAAGAACAGAATGATTTGTATTCGATAAAACGAAAGCTTTGGTTAGAGAATTTAGGTCATTTCAATTTTATTTCTTGAAGTTTTGCGAATTTTGTTTAAACTTATTGCGAACATAGGTCTGCTTTATCGATTTTAAAATTTTTAGGTGTTTTTAGGAAATAAATTATTGTACGAATTAAGTTATGACCGTTTTTAATATGGAAAATACTTTTTTTAACGGGTAATATAGAGCTCTTAGTATCTATTTTCCCGCAGTAGAAAGTATCCTAAATATTGACTCGGATAACCAGCTATCATCATACCTTTCATTAAAATCTGTCCAGTGGTTTTCTCGTGATACGTTCCCAGACAGACAGGTGGGCGGACAGACGGACGGCCGGAGAGACAGAGATAAAAATTCTAAAACTATAGATTCGGCCTCTGTGTCGATAATAATGACTATTTTAATAAGATTTTCCAAAAAATATTTAATGTACAGATTCGACTCAGAATTTTATTACATAAGTAGGTATATGTATGTATATATATATATATATACATACATATACCTACTTATATATATATATATATATATATATATATATATATATTAATTCACAATTGGAACATAAAAAATGAAAATATTAAGCAGAATCGAATATCCTCCTTTTTCAAAGATGATCAAAAAATATGTTTTTTAACCCCTCCAGATAAATTTCTAAGAAATTAGTTAAATTTTTAAGAAATCTATTGTTAATTGTAACGCCGGCGTGTCCGCGGTCGTTGAAGGATTAAGCTCGAGGTTTATAAAACCTAAAGGGAAGGTAGGCTCACTAGATCATTGATATAATCTATACTAATATTATAAAGAGGCAGTTTGTTTGTTTGGACGCGCTAATCTCACCAGCTACTAATTCGATTTGAAAAGTTCTTTTTGCATTAGATAGCCCGTTTATTGAGTAAGGCTATAAGGCTATATATCATATAATATTTAGTTTATCTATACTATCTATACAAACCGTTAAAACGTATCTAGGGACTAATCCGAGGGAAGCGAAGATGAGCCGCTAGTTTATATATACATAAATAGGTAAAGACCAAACTGTCCAGTACCTTTTTCTCCTGCTTGTCAACCAACTTTCTTTTTTTTTGTTCAATAGCTACTGACAAATTTAGTGTTACCAATACTAATGTAATAAGCCACTCGCCTTTATTTCGCATGTGTTCAGCGTACGATGC